AGCTCTTGCTGGATTACCATAGAGGGTAAATTTGAGCCTCCTAAGTCCAAGACATTAAACTCCCTCATCTCTGGCTGTTTCCAAGAAACCAGGATTTGCAGGGAGTGCAGTTACGTGCTCATCAGGAGAAAGATAAATCACCGCATGTTTTCCTCTAAAGGAGACAGTTTCTAAAAATAGGAGTCGTGCTGGAGCTCCGGAGAACAAAAGAGTCACTGGAAGGCTCCTGCCACTGTCCTTTCTCGGCGATCGGTGCTCTCTGCCCCTCTCCGTCCATGCGCTGGGGATTTATGGAAGTGTTTAAAATCTGCCAATTTGGGAAAGTTGGATTTTTTTTTTTTTTCCCCTCGGCATGCTTGTCCTGGCGGGTTGGTGACTCAGGCTTTCCTGAATGAATGCTGCCGGTCTCCCGTGACCTCAGCAGCTTGGCCCTGGATCCCACCAGCCTTTTCTGAAATGATTTTTGAAGTCAAAAGGATCTGATCTGGGAGCCAGGGATGCCGCCACCTCTCCAGGATGGGTTCTGACAGTGCCGATGTCGGATAAACCCTGGCGATGTGCTTGGCCTCAGCTCTGCATCTGGATGGAAGACCTCCAACTCTATCATCTCTGGTTGAGACCTACGTGTTGGAGATGCTCAGCCTTAAAAGTTTCACCTCTAAAGTGGCTCAACTAAAATGTTAGAAGGACGAGAAGCCAACCCTGGCTTTTCACATCCTTCCTCTGCTTTCAGGGCAGGTCATGTCCTGCCTTTCCCCATCTCCATAACCAGCGTGGTGGCCTGAATACCAGGTTCCTCCTGGTTTTACAGCTCAGAACGAGTAATCCATAGAATAAATGCTAAATGTGTGTGGCTGCATCCATCCAGGAAGGGATGGAGGTCAGTTTGGGCTGTAGAGGCTCTCATGGGCTCTCACCATTGAGACAAAACCCATCTTCTCGGCTCCTCCAAAGTGTTCCCCGTGCCCTTCCCAGGATTTGCAGCTTGATCCTGCTCTCTCTCATCTTTGCATTCAACACGGAAGCTCTCCGGGTCGTTGGTCGGTGCGTGGTGGAGGTTGAGCTGCTCTTTGCACATCCCTCTTCTCCGTAAGCCCCATGGGTGGTTGGTGCTGGGTCTGCACCCTCCACCGAGCCGTGGGCGCTTCCTTCCCATGGCCTCCTGGTGATTTCCACCACACTGGTGAGCCCCAAACATCTTTTGGGCTGCTGGGCTACCCACGACCTAAGGTGGTGATGATGATGATGATGGGAGCAGGGATGCAGGACAATTCCTTGTCCCAGCAGCAAGCTTGCTTGGCTGAGGC